CTTTCCTTCAACAGGTCACTGAATATGTGTATCAAGCACTGGGCTAAGTAAGGCAGGGAGGGGGACAGTGTTGGGGGGGGTGGGGGAGGGATGCCAAATAAACAAGGTCATCTCGATCCTCAAAAAGATGATCTTTTATTTGGGCGAGCTCTTAATCTTGTAGACCCTCAGCTTCTTCACCTACAACTCGGACATCACCATTCTCAAAGTGTTGTTAGGAAATAGTGCAGGATAGTTCAACCTCAGTGCCCTTGATGTTTTGGGCCAGATAATGCCTTGTTGTGAGGGACTGTCTTGTGTATTGCAGGATATTTAGTGACATCCTTGGCTTCTAACTCACTAGATGCCAGTAGCTTCCTGCCAACCCCTCCGACTTCAGTGATGACAACCAAAACTGTCTGCAGACATTACCAAATGTCCCCTCCTGCAAGACTACCCCCAGTTGAGAACCTCTCAAATAGGGTGTCATATATATGAAAGCACTTAAAAAAGCATAAAGCCGCAAATCAAGTCAGTATTAATGTAAATCTATTTGTAAGACTACTTGTCAAAAAAAAAGTCCCTTAAAGTACAGTTTCCTTAGGAATGTTTTATTTTCCATTTTTATGTTTTTTGCTTACCATTAAAAGCCCTCCAGGGCTTTTTGGTTAATTTTCCTTACCCAAACAAAGCATCTTCATTAGAACATATTTTTTAAATGTATCACTGTACTAACATGTCAGTCAGAGTCAAACATAATTGCCATCTCTACAAAGCAGAAATTTTATCCAAAATCAAAGTACTCTGTGCCTACCTTTTAAGGTCAAGGGACTGGATCTTGTGAATTCTGTATTTGATGGCCTGTGCTGTTTACGAACTTCCAAGTACTCCTTAACTCTTGAATCAATGGTTTCTTTTAACAGTAAACAGACTTCCTAAAGCAAGTTAAAAAATGAGATATAATTCTCTCATTTAATGAAATGCAAAGAGACAACATTGTGCATATTAAAAAGTCAACACTGAACATTTCATTTCGTTTGCTTTTTTACTTAGCTGTGAAAGCTGAAAAGAATGCTATCTGTGCTCATGGGTATCACCCCAGGTTTAAGTTTGCTACTGAGGTTTGCTCAAAACCATGTTGGTTCAGTCTGTGATCTGAGAAATTCATTTAATTTCCCTCTGCTTCAGCTCCACATTTCTAAAAGGAAGGTAAAAGCAGTGAAGTGCCCACTGTGGCCAGGCAAGACTGTGGATGAGGGAAGGATCCAGGAGGTGGAGCATCTCACTGTGACCCCACCCAGCCAGCAGGGGCAGCCCCGCCCACGGCTTCAGTGGACTATTGTCATGTGGGGATGCTAGGTGGGGGAGGGGGGTCATCAGCTGGTCATCAGCTCTTCTGGTCTGTTCAAGAGAAGAGGCCACAGCAATTTTTATGCGAATATTTCCCATTTTTCAAACTTGGTTCAATACTTTTCTTAACCTAACCTAAACATCCACCATCCTTCATTCATTAGTTTCTGGCTGCAGGTTTAGAAATCTACTGAAAAAGGAACAGCACCGAATGATGGGCTGAAGACAGAACTAAGAAATCAGTAATGTGATTTTCTTCCATGCTCTTATTGATACTGTGTGTGCCCATTTGCTTTTGTGAAAACTGCACTATATCCACCGATTCATGGTGAAAATAATTTAACTTCTCACATTTCTTTAAAGTAGATTAATATTTATTAGGCAACAGAAACACATGGTTTTAATTCAATGTCAATGTACCACAACACTAGCAAATTTCTGGAATGTGTTATTTTTTTATATATCAGTGTTACTTATGAAAAGAAAGACAAAACTCTAAAAAGTCTACCACATGATGGGAAGACACTGTCCACTTTAGGTGGCATGTAGCCAATGTAGATAAAGGGGGAAAAAATGGCACACAAATCTAAATTTCTTATCTTCGATTAAGAACTGGTGTGTAAGGACTAATAATTCTGGTCCAATTCCCAGACTGCAGAAGGCTCAGAGTTGCCGAGGTCAACTCAAACCTGTTTCACTAATTTCTTCAATGCCATCTCAGGTTTATCTCTTATGATTTTCAAAAATTAAAACGAGAACAAAATTTTAAGAAGCCCTGAAGGGCAATGATAGCCAAACTTTTCTTTTATTGCAAATACAGACACTCCTCAACAGTAGTGAAAATCCTTGATTTAATTCACAAATGGGAAATTGTACATAAAATATAAACACTGATCTCTCTTCTGCTCTCATTTTGCAGCCCAAAGATGCAGTGCCTTGTGGAATAGAGAGAGATCCGTTTACAGTTGAGCATTCTGGCATTGTTCACACAACAGAAAGGCAGCCTTGCCCCATACTGTTGTTTTAACAATTAAAGAATTTTGCTTCACATGCAGGGTTCAACTATGACTGAGCTAGAAAATATGTGAAAGACATACATGGAAACAAAGATTGTTAAAATTTAGCCATAAATGCCCTATAAGGCTAGAACTAAAAATAGTACGACAAAAATAAAACAAAGGCCCATACAACACAAACTTTCTCCCTATAGTTACGGGGCTTTCCTTCCATGAGTCAGGTTTGACGAATGGAAGGTAGACCATGTGCAATGTGGTCAAGATAACCTAGTAACTGACCACACCACACTTGGCGAAGCATTCCCTTCAGAACCACAGCAATGCAAGAAAAGACAAAGTCCCAGCTAAACTGGACGGGCAGATAAAAAGACCACGCTGAAATCGATGAGCAAGAAGACAGAGATATACAGGGTATTTCTAGGCTAAAAAGGGCTCCAACATGCTTCCTCAAGTTTACAAATGAAACAGTTCGAGCTGGACTGTTTGGGTACAAAGACTACTCGTGCTGGACTCAAAATAAACATGGCTTTAATCCATACAATTAGTTCCCTTTTCTGAAAAGGAACTGGACATTCTTAAGACTTTCACTATATAAAGTGACTGCTCAAATGCAATCAAATTGATTGCTCATGAAATCCCAATCATGAGATGATCTAATGATAAAAAAAGATGAAAGCACTGAGGCACTGAATAGAGACTAAAGTCATATCCTTCCTTCACTAGCTTTTCTTCCTTCTCTGTCTCTGTCTCTCTCTGTCTCGGAGCAATTTTCATGTCCATGAACAAACTTTAAAGGAACAACTTCAAGTATATGCAGCAAACCATCTGCTTTGCTCTGAGAGGGAAGCCTGGCTTCCTGGCATAATGCTGGAGCCAACACTGCAGCCAAGCCAACACCAGCCATGTGCAGGTCCCATCGTGCTCGGACCACCTTTGCTAAGTCATGCCTTGCTGCCCGGACGTTAGGACTAGGTGGAGCGGCACAGCTGTGTGTGGCTCCCTGGAAAAACCTAGCCTCATGCTCTGGGTAGGAGGTGACTCACATATTCGTAGCTTTATTTTAAAGGCTCCAAATCAAAGGACTTGGCAAAACTGACTAAATATCAACAAGAGAGAGCTAAGGGTGAGGTGGTAAAGCTGGAAGAAAATGGACAACAGGCTGGGTCTAGAACAGTGGATTCTAGAATGCTGTTAATGTCAGTCAAGTCAGAAGCCTTTTGGGGTGAGGTCTCCTTAAGGTGAGCATTAGTCACTTTGGGGGAAATAAAGGAACCATTTTGAACCACAGGGACATGTGTTGTTGGTAAGCCAAATCTTGGAATTACATGGAGTTGAAGTGTCGTAGGAGATGCCAGCATACTAAATGCTAAGACCTGAAGAGGATAATTTATTAACCTGAATGGTAAATCCCATTATACCGAATCTTGTGCCTGCCTTCTCCCAGCTGTTGGGCCACCAGGTATCCTTGGCAATACCGTGACAGCCAAGTGCTGATTATATCATTACCTTTTGACTGAAAATGTATTACTTATAAATTTTCTTTGGGGGAGATTTTTTTTCCTAGTAATCGTCAAAAGTTGACTGAAAACAGTTACCACAGTAAAGGATTTTGGGCTTGCTTTTGTTGCCACTATCAGCAAATTCTTCTCCGTATACTACCTTTCAGTAAAACTTGTTTTTATTTCTGGCTCTAAAAAGCTGTTGTGACAAATATGGAGGTCACAAAGTGCTGTAATACTCTGAAAGTTACATGAAAGCCACTGCCTGCCTCGCTATCCCTGCTCTGGAGGACAAGGATATGGAGGAGGAAGCAGAGCACGTGATGAAAGCCAGATGCACTCTCCAACTCTCTGCCACAGCAGCACTTGGGTGGGATCACGGAAATGGAGAGCCAGTGGTGACTCAGCTGACCTCTGGTCGAACTTTTTCATTTGCAGATGAGGAGACTGAGGCCCAGGAGGTCAAACACCATGCTCCCAGTCACATGACCATCTGGCCATAGGCTTCCCTGACAGACTATTGTGAGAAGGAATACAGTCCAACACCTCCACATTTACTGTCAAAGACTCATGTTAATAAAAGGATGGTAGAAGACAAAAGCGCAGACATTGAGAATTTAAGATTTAAATAAGAATTTAATCTCAAGGTGTGAAAGATCAGCCTTGTGTTCACCTCACGCCTGCTTCAGGGGCTAGGTCTGTCCTTTACAACCAGATAGATTAAAGTCCCTGGTTGCCTGGAACAGTCACTTTAATGTCTTCTTAAATATAAAGAGCCCTTTCCCCCAAAACAAAGAGGTAGAATATTTCTGGCTTAAATAATATAGCATATGAAATACATAGATGTGTCACTCTCTTAAGGAAAAAAAGCAGGTCTGTCATTGGGAATACAACTATTTTTCAAGGGTTAAATATCACTCAGTATTTTTTGCCTACTGATGAAAATGAAAGCTGAAAGAGTTAATATTTCTTTGAGCATCAGCTATTGCATTTAAACAGTGAAAAGTTTTGTGGTACCTCTTTCTTCTGTTCAGAAAACCAGCTGGTATCTTTGTTTGAACCTTGCGGCAATATGTGAAGATCCACCAGGACAGCAAAATTCCCACACTAAAAAGACATTAATGGCAGAGTTAGCTCACGCCCAGCAAACAATGAGAGAAAATCTCACAAATTCCTATGTGGTTGCTCATGATGAAATGGCAACAAAGTTCCCTAGTGGACAGAAATCTTAATATGGGGCAGGGCTACAGGTCATAAACCTACTAGTTTTTGCAAGTTTAATATTTAGGGCAGAAATGCTAAGGAGAAATAGAATTTTAATCATAATAGCAAAGACAAAAAACCTGTGTCCCACACCTTCGAGGGGATGCTCAAGGCATCCAGTGGCAGCTGGAAGGCTATCAAACACTGAGAGAAGTCCAATAGGTCAGAATTGGGTAGGCTCCAGAAAGGAATGGTTCCATGGACAGTCAGGGGAATTCTTTCTTTGACATAGGAAAGAACACATATAAGCTACTGCATTTTCAGACAGAGAAAAGGAATGGCTGGGACAGTACATTTGAGAATACAAACAGAAGCAAGGAGAGCAAGGTGGATGCTGAATGACAGTTACCAAAACTAAATTAGTTTTATTAAAATACGCTGTAAAACTGTACAAATCCTGGGGCGCCTGGGTGGCTCAGTCAGTTGAGCGTCCGACTTCAGCTCAGGTCATGATCTCGCGGCTCGTGAGTTCGAGCCCCGTGTCAGGCCAGCTTAGAGCCTGGAGCCTGCTTCTGCTTCTGTGTCTCCCTCTCTGTCTGCCCCTAACCCACTCGCATTCTGTCTCTGTCTCTCTCAAAAATAAATAAACATTAAAAAAAAATTTTTTTTTAAACTGTACAAATCCTGCTTCTTGTCAATGTTCATCAGGGCAGCCAATAGCCATGTTATGGCTACTGAGCACATGAAATGTGGCTACTGTGATTGAGAAGCTGAATTCTAAATTGTATTTATTAATTTAACTTAAACAGCCACATGTGGCTAGGCGATTTGTGGCATGGCTATAGACCCTGTAAAAGGTTATAGCCTTTAAATCTTCACACCTTATGAGTAATTTCTGCAAATCTCTGGATAATTGTGGATAAGGTAACTTAGAAAGAAACAGAAGACCAAGACTGCAGGTTGGGGATGGTCTCAGAGGCCCAAAGGGTCAGTGATGACCTACAGGAAAATGTCATTTTTGTACCTCTTTGGCTGAACAGGTTTTCTTTTTTGTCTATTGTTTTTAAATTCCGTGCTGTAATTCAATGATGAAAGGAAAATATTTTCAACGAATGGCCCAAATAGACCAAATATAAATATGGAAGGAAAATAAAATTTGACACTTACCTCATACCATACACAAAAATTAATTTGAGATGGATGATAGACCTACACATAAAAACCAAAACTATCTTGCCAAACTTGCAGTAGAAAAAAATTTTTTAGAACCCAGAAAGCACAAAAGATAGAAGAAAAAAATTATTAAATTGAATTCTGTCAAAATTTAAAACATTTGCTCATTAAAGGACACCACTGAGCTCCTGGGTGGCTCAGTTGGTTGAGCATCTGATTTCAGCTCAGGTCATGATCTTGTGGTTTGTGGGTTCAAGCCACACATAAGGCTCTCAGGTGTCAGCACAGAGCCTGCTTGGGATCCTCTGTCTCCCTCTCTCTCTCTGCCCCTCCCTGCTCGCGTGCTCTCTCCCTCTCTCAAAAATAAACATTAAGAAATTTTTTTAAAGAAAGACACCATTAATAAGATGAATATGTATGTCACAGGCTAAGAGAAAATATTTGTAAATGCATATATCTGACATGAAGGACTGGCATCCAAAATAAATAACTCGTACAAATCTAATATTAAAAAAAAACAAACAACCTAAGCTTCAACAGATACCTCACAAGATAAACAAACAGCTAATAACACATGAAAAAGTGTTCAACATCAGTCATCAGGCAAATGTAAATGAAAACCACCAAGAGATACAACTACATACTTACAAGAATGACTGAAATTAAAAAGATTGACACACCAAATTTGGTAAGGATGTGGAGCTCCCCAAACTTTCATGCATTGCTAGTGGAAATATAAAATGGCTCAACCACTTTGGCAAAAGGTTCGTCAGTTTCCTTTACTTAAACACACATTTAATTTACTGACTAAGCCAGCAATTCCACCTTAGGCACTTACCAAGAGAGATAAAACATGTGCACAGGAAGATTTGTACGCAAATGTTCATAGAAGTCTTATTCATAATAGCTAAGACAAGACAGAAGACAACCCAAGTCCATCAACAGGAGAATAAACAAAGTACGGTACATTCATTCAATGGAATGCTCGTCACAAAACTACAGATCCACTCAACATGGACTAATCTCCACATTACATTGAGCAAAACACGCCAGGCGAAAAGAATGCATACTGTAGGATTCCATCTATATGAAGTTCTAGAAGAGCAAAACTCAATCTGTGGCCAAAGCAATCAGAATAGTGATTACCTAGGGAGGAGTTGACTGAGAACAGGCACAGAAGAACTTTGTGTGGTGGTGGGAAGGTTCTCTATCTTGGTGGGGTATACGGTTAAGATCAGTTGATTTCAGTGTAAATTATACATCGCTAATAAATAATTTTTAAAGGCTGTGTAAAAGCACATTTACATTTACTGACAGTTATATAAAATGTCGTCTGTCCTTAAAAATGTATGGGTATTTTGGAGGAGAACGAAGTGAAGTTCAACTGGATAAAAAATAATGAAATATGGTGAAAGAGGATCTCCTATGATGTCAAACAGTGCAGTGTGACCCACTGAACTGCTTCTTAGTGTGTTACAACCAGTATTTTATTTTAATGAAAGAGAATCAAAGGGAATATGTGAATAGAATAAAAAATATCAATATGTCACATGGTACAGTCAAGTCTTATTTTGTGAAACTTATGTATGAGTATACTGAGTTATGATGGGAAGCCTATTTCTTACTGTGGATTTGTGGTCAAAACTGTTTGAAAACCACACTCAAGTACACTGTTACTTTACGTTTCTTCACAACTGTTGATTATAGATTTAACCTTTAAGGAATATGCTGCCACCAGGTGGAGGTCATATGCCACAACTACATGGCATTAACCAGGGGTTATTAACTTTTTGTGTGCCATGGATAAAACACAATGGATTCAAAAGAAAACCAATTTGACTGAAGTACGATTATCCAAATTAAAAAAAAATTGTGATTTAGTAATGTATGTACTTGTCTATTAAGGCACTGGCTCTTTTCATAGTTGTAGATCTAATAACTACCAAAAATCCGAAGTAATAGTAAACATACATGATACCTTCAGATATGTGCCACAACTATAAGATAACATGAAAAGAGCTATGATTCTACTGGTGACATATCCTGCAAATACCATGTTTTGAATACTTAATTTATAATAAAAAAAATTGGTTAGAATTTGGTTAAAATAAAGATGTAATTTTTGCTCCCATCCAAGTTCACCAACCCTCTCAATTCTATCCCAAACCTGTTGAGGCACCACAGATGGCAGAACAAGAACCTCGCAGAAGCAATGGGATGTGCCTTATACACATTTTACTGGGTTTCCTGCAAGTGTTTAATCCTGACTCCTTAGACCAAGTTCTCTGCTAGCCCTTCTCCATTAGCAAAATTGGTTTTTAAAATAGTAAAAAAAAAAAAAAAAAAGTGATACTTGAACAATTTGAATTGATACTATGTAATAGTAGCTTTCTATAAACTTTTTTTAATGTTTATTTATTTTTGAGAGAGACAGAGAGAGAGAACATACATGCACAGGAGGGGCAGGGAGACAGGGAGACAGAGGATCCCAAGCAGGCTCTGCTGTCAGCACAGAGCCTGATGTGGGGCTTGAACCCACGAACCATGACATCACGGATGACCTAAGCCAAAGGCGGGCAATTAACCAACTGAGTCACCCAGGTGCCCCTGTAATAGTAGCTTTCTAATGAATTAAATAGCAAGGTCCAATTTGGTATTCTCTCATCATTTCATACCTTTGATCACAAATAATCTAGTGTAAGTTTGATTATAAACAGACCGATTAGAATAGTTTTGTTTTTGGAATCTTACTCCGGTGCTCAAACTTTCCTGGGACTTCAGCCAGACTCTGCCACCAGGCACATGTGCAGTCCCCCCAACACACAGCAGGGCTCTCCCCCTGCAGCCAGCAGTTCTGAGTTCTCCAGCAAGCTCTCTCAGACTCCCACACCAAGCAGCCGTATGCTGCCTTTCTAAAGTTCCCTGCTCTCATAGCTTCGCTGCTTTGCTCCCATGAGTGAACAGAAGTTTTAAGGGAAAAAAAGCCTCCTACTGCTGCCAGGAGCACAGCCTTCACTTCTCCTTAATTAGGAGGAGGCTATTTCATCTCTCAGCAGAGAAACTCCAGCTCTCTTCAGAAAGGGGGAACACACGAACCATGACTTCTTTCTTAGGCCACAGCTGCTCACTTTACACAGGACAGTTACCTCTTTAACAGACCAAAGGCCACTAGTAAAAGCTTTGCATCTCATGCCCTGGGTTGTGAGTCAACAGGCCAGGGTCTGATCCAGCTTCTAGCCCCCTCCACCCAGACGTTTTGGCCAAAGGCTGGGAGTCAACCCCAACTCCTCCTTTTCCCTAACCCTCCACACTCAGTCACCAAGTCTTATTGGTTTTACTTCTTGAAGGGCTAAGCACACCTTCTGTCTCTCGTTCTGCATGTCACCTCCCTCCTGGTGTCTCATGAACTCTCAACACCAACCAGAGCAATCTCTAACATACGTGCTTTCTGCCCTCTGATTCCAATGCACCCCGATGCTCCTGGATTTGTCAACTTTTATGCCTCCTTGAACCCCAGGAGGAGCATGGACATCTCAGTGCAGATTTTCTGAACAGTTTGTCACTTGGTCCCCTGGATCAGGCCTATGCTTAACATGCTTATTTATTTCTGCACTAAATGGCTGGTCTATGTAGGGGCTGCCCCTGCTAGGCTGTTAGCTCCTTGGTGCAGACAGACAGGGTCCCAATCTCATTCAAATCTACACTGCAGCAATTAGCACGGGACTAGCTCACAACAAGTGCTTAATAGTGTGTGTGTGTGTGTGTGTGTGTGTGTTGTGTACAGACAGCTTTAATCTTCAGTGAGACCCTGCTGGCCTAGCCCTTCAACATCCATGCCACCACTGCTCTGCCTTTCGAGTCTTTACCAAGGGGAAGATTTCACGGCAAGTGCTATTTAAAGGAAGGAAGAAAGGAACGAATGAACAATGACAGTATAAATGGGCTCTGAAGTTTGGGCAAACCACAGCCTTATCTGTAAACTGAGGGTGCTGAGCCCATTCTGGGGACAAGGCTGTTCTGATTCTGCACAGGACACAGATGCATCATAGAACAATTTCCCCTCTCCTTATTCTAGAGTGGCAACAACTATGCCATCACCAGTGACAACCAGTGATTTTCTATAGTTTGAAAAAAAGGGGACTAGATGGATCCTATGATTATCTCACCCTAACCTCACAGCCAGGGGTGGAAGATCTTTTTTTTTTAATATGAAATTTATTGTCAAATTGGTTTCCATACAACACCCAGTGTTCATCCCAACAGGTGCCCTCCTCAATGCCCATCACCCACTCTCCCCTCCCTCCCACCCCTCATCAACCCTCAGTTTATTCTCAGTTTTTAAGAGTCTCTTATGGTTTGCCTCATTCCCTCTCTGTAACTTTTTTTTTTGCCCTTCCCTCCCCATAGTCTTCTGTTAAGTTTCTCAGGATCCACGTAAGAGTGAAAAGTATATGGTATCTGTCTTTCTCTCTTCTTATGACTTATTTCACTTATTAGCATAACACTCTCCAGTTCCATCCACGTTGTTTCAAAAGGCCATATTTCATTCTTTCTCATTGCCAAGTAGTATTCCATTGTATACATAAACCACAACTTCTTTATCCAGTGAAGAATTGGGCAGAAGACATGAATAGACACTTCTCTAAAGAAGACATCCAGATGGCCAACAGGCACATGAAAAGATGCTCAACATCGCTCCTCATCAGGGAAATACAAATCAAAACCACACTCAGATATCATCTCACGCCAGTCAGAGTGGCTAAAATGAACAAATCAGGAGACTATAGATGCTGGAGAGGATGTGGAGAGCAGAGAACCTTTGCACTGTTGGTGGGAATGCAAACTGTGCAGCCTGGAAAGTAGTGTGGAGGTTCCTCAAAAAAAATTAAAAATAGATCTACCCCCTATGACAGGAATAGCACTGCTAGGGTACCCAAGGGATACAGGAGTGTTAATGGCAAGGGGCACTTGGCACTACAATGTTTATAGCAGCACTTTCAACGAGAGCCAAATTATGGAAAAAGCCTAAATGTCCACCAACTGACGAATGGAAGATCTTATCTTGTAATTTTACCTTAAGTGTCAAATAAAGGTGGAAATGCTAACACTTCTCACACATGAAGGTACCTGAGAAGCAGGCTCAGAACCGTGAGATCCACGTGCATTCTCCCATTTCCTCGTTCATTCAACACCTGCTGAGTTTCACCGGAGCCCTGGTCAGACCCTGAGAGGGAGAGGCACTTACTGTAGTAAGTGTAACCACAGTGTACACCCCAGGACCAGAGGTGGCCAAGCCACCACTCTGCCTGAAGGAGGCCAGGGATGAGGTATAAGACCTCTCAGCTAGTCCTGAGGAAGAGGACAGGTGGTGGAGAAAAAGAAAAAAAACAGCAGCCACATGAGGAAAGAGGCCTGAATAGCCTGGCATGCTCTGGGGACAAAACAGAGTCCGATAAGCAGAAACAGGACGTCAGCAGATGAGGCCAATAGGTCAGGAGGGTTCAGACCACAGAGGAACCCTGGGCAAGCCAAGGAGGAACGAAAAGACCTGTAGGTTGGAGAGCTCTCTCAGGTAGGAGTGCCTGGGCCGGCAGAGCCATGCGGACAGGTTTAAAGCCACCCCCAAACCCAAATAAGAGACAATGGAAGGTGATGGGTAAAGATGAAGGAGTAGATCTGAGACACACTCAAAAGAGAAAGAAGAGGATGTGGTTTGGGGCAACAATGATGCCCTAGGCATGTGAGTAGTTCCAGTGTGCCCATGGGCTGTCCACAGGCAACTCACTCATGTGGGTCTGCTGGAACTGTTATTGGCATTTTATACCACATGCCACTAAGGACTTAAGGCAGTTTGGATTAATAAGGCAAATATGAAAGATGGAGGAAATAAGAAAAACAAGGGTAGAAATCTAAAATGAAGCCAATGGTAGGTCTGTACAAAATTTCCACCATTGTCATAGGTCTTTGCAACAGTTGGCTCTGAGTTTGCTAGTTCCTGATGTAAAACAAGAAAAGCCAATCAGAGTCTGTAAGATGAGAATGAATCAGTACTGAGGATAACCCAATCATTTCTAAATATTACATCTAGAGAAACATTTCTCCTGAAGATTTTCATGAAAAACAAAAACAAAAACAAAAACAAAACATGGCGACTCTCTTCCTGGAGTATCTACCAACATTACTAAAAGGCTTTAAGGAACATATTAAATGTCTTCCTATCAAAATAAAGTGCATGTATGTTACATGGAATTAGAAAGTCATATGGTTTTTGAAGAAAAAGCACAGTTTACAGAGCACCTATGATCTAGGCATTGTGCTAAGCTTTATCTATAGTATTCCATTTAATCCTCACCACTAGCCTACAAAAGAGCACAACTATTACTCATATTTCATAGATAAGGATGTGGCATCTGAGAAGGTAGAGACTAGTCCAATATTACATAGTCAATAAGTGACAGACCAGGAATCAAATCCAAATCCATTACACTCTAAAGCCCCCTGCCATGTATTACTTTGAAGAAATATCCCCTCTGAAAAAAGACCACTCAGGACTTCTTTCCAGAAGCCATGTGGAGGCATATTTAAGGCTACCTAGCCTGGAACCCACCCCACTATACCTGTCCCCTCTTAGGGTGAGCGCTGGAAGGCTTGTCTGTCCATTAGTGACAAAGGACTGAACCAAGAACTCTGAACAGGGTCACTGAGCTCCCTTCCCTGTGCAGTGACTCATTCCATGCTTGAAGAGAGGCACTAAGAGTTCTGATGCTGAAGCTGTCAGTGTGGGGTGCCCTGCTAGGATAAGCGTGCAGAGTAGTGGCAAAGGCCCCCCTGCATAGAGACGGGGGTGGGAGGGGGAGGGAAGAAAAGGGGGAGGAAAGGACTGCAGCAGAGGACCAGGGCAATAAATCACACTAAAGGTGGGGTGGGGGTGTTGGGACAGGCGGTCTCCTGACAGTAACAATCCTATCCAGAGTTAAAGCAGAAGAAAAGTCAACACAAATCTTTTGTCCACTTAACTCCCTTGCCCTCTCCTTACCCAAGAAATCTAAGCTTGGAGTTTACATTCAAGAAAAGCAACCAGCATACCTTTAGGATGGCATATTCAATAAACAAACAGGTCAGAGAAGGAAAGAATAAAGAGTCATTCCATCAGAGTACAATGTATCATTAATCTAACTGCAAAAACTTACTAAACAAATTGGCAGTAACAATAGTTAAGATTCATTGAGCACTTATTGTGTGCCAGATTCTGGGTAAAGCCCTTTCCTTACATTACTGCATTTGACTCTCATGACAACCCAGAGAGTCATAAACCATTACCAGTCAGTGTTCTGGAAACGCTGAGAAACTTAAGAGCTCTGTTCTCTTTCACTTTTAGAAGATTCCTGGTGATCACGGGTAGGCTGTTTGGTGTGGTGCCTTGCCAACCTGGCAAATACTGGTCAGGCCAGGTAGAAGGAACATTCTATAATCTTAGTAACGGAATTAGACCCAGCCCAAATTCAAGAGCACACCCACAGAGAAGCCTCGAGAAAGCCCTAGGATGACAAGCAGGAGAAGGGCCTAACACAAGAAGTCCGAGGCCACAGATCTCTTTCGACGATGCCCCAGTTTAGGAGGAGTGTCCAACTCCCTTCTCTGGGCCTCAGTTTCCCTCTGTGTAAAATGAGAGGTCACCACTGGATCTCCTTCAGGGTGCCTTCCATTTTAACATCCCACCTCCTGGTTGTGTTTGGGTTAACAACCATGGCTTGGATTCTATTTGCACACACAATGTTTGCCCTGATGTATAAGTTATGCAAGAGTCACACTGAGTCTGGCACATCGTCTCATCCTGTATCGGTTCACTACAAGCCATGCAAGCACAGTAGTAAAAATCTTAGCAACCAATGAGTCCTCCCCCTGAGCATTCTCTGACACCTCGCAGGCAGGACAAAGCTCCTGTTTGCTGCCACAGCACTTTCATGATTCTGCTGTGGAATCATCACAGGCTGTAAACACATGGCTGTTTACATCCATCTCCTATAGGCTGCCTGTGGGGAGGAGCTGCCTTCCACTACCTTTGGGTTGTCAGTGCCTCATACTGGGCCTGGCACAGAGAGGACAGTGAAGAGTGTTAGTTAAAAAATCCTAAAAACTACATCAATGATAAAAATTACTTTAGTGTCTGCCTTGTTCTCTCTCTAGGAGGGATTATCCGCCTCTCACCTGCACCCTGTCCTCAGAACTGGAAAGACCACAGAATCAATCTCATGGCTTATAACTAAGTCTGCATCATTCATGAACAGAATATTGTCAGCCCAGAAAACAGGTAGCAATACCCACTCCTCCATGCCAAATACTTACTTTCCCACCTTCCAACCAGGCAGAACAATCTGCAAAACCCTGGTTGACTGTGTGGATTCAAACGCAATAAAGGGAATACGTAAGGGGGCTTCTTTGGTAGCAAATAGATAACTAGTTCTTTGGCTCAACTTTTTCCAGCTGAAAGGGACGCAGCAGAGGATGTGACTTGTCTCAGGTGAAAAGGAACCAGAAGGGGAGGGAGTTTCTCCTGTTTCGTGTCTGTTGCGGGGCTTCTGGCTACAGGTCAGGGACGTACACCTTGCCAGTCATTTGTTTGTGTTTCTTAACGGATTTATTGTTATGGATGGGGAAAGATCCTATATGGGTGGGAAACAAGTCACAAAGGAATGAGAAAGAACGCAGAAAAACAGAGCTAATGAGTTTGATGACAAAGAGGAAAAAACAGAGTAACAGGCTGATGTCCTTCAGTAAACCGCTTCTGGCCTCCTATTAAGAAAGAGTTTGAGGTTTTGGCCTACAGTGCTCAAAAGTGGCTCACACTCTTCGTGGGTAAGATTTGGGAAGAAAAGCAAAGCACTGTTGGGCATACAGCAAAGGCCAACTAAAGTGGTATATATCGTAAAGCAAAGCTTAAATTTAACATATGCCATTGGAACCTTCAAGTAGCATTTGGGGCTGAATCACAGACTCTAAAACCCACCATTGCAGTTAGGAAGAGTGCAGTTAGGAATAAGCCTTCAGTCGCTCCTTTTGAAAGAGAAGGACCTATTTCATTGCTATAGACACTTTCCCTAATGGTTTTCAAGAAATCATTCTTTCCAATGTAACCAGTAGGCCACTTCCCCTCCAGGGACTGGAGTAGCATGTACAGAGTGTGTGCAGCAACAGGGAGCACAATGACCTGGGGGTGGAATGCATCTGACCTAAACCCCTGGCCTACACCTCAATTCCCCCAGACCAGAGGAAGTTCCTGCGATGTAAAATGGGGACGAAAACCACCTTATGGAGGTATCTGACGAAATGAGAGAATACAGAGGTGCAAGGCTTCACACAGTGCCAGCCATACAAAGGGCTCAGTGGGTTGTTGTGGGTTTCCCCCACCCCTGCAAAGGTAGAATTTGCCTCAAATTCCAAGGCATATCACATGAACTCTGAATTGTCAGTTCCATAAGATTTACAAACAGATAGGGCACAGGTTTCCACCTATTCCTACTAAGAGCTAATAAATGCCTCATAACTCTTTTGTACAGTTTTACTCCGGCCATGCACTGCTTCTTGGAAGAACAGATGGCTTGTAATCACAGCTGATTATAGAGTAAAACTATGAGCTCTCCCCTCCCATATTTCTGCAACAGAGAACATGAAATGAAAAGATAACCTGAAAGACATTATTATGTACTTGAGAAAGTCTTAGGTGGTTGGAAAAGACAAGCAACATTCATAATTAGCAACATTGAGGCCATCAGAAGTGTGTTCAGGACCAATCATGGCCAACCATTTAGTAATCGGAATATGGAATTGGATAAACTATAAGGGTATAGGTCCCCACAAGCTCTGCTCACAATTTTATCCAGCATATGTGTCACCAAGGAACTCTGGGATGCGGGTTTGATTTTAAACTCTCTAAAAATTAACATTTTAGAAAATATTCTTTTATATCCCGGAGGAATCTTGACAGTCTTCAATGTCAAGAAGTATAAAAGCAGTGTAGCCTATGAGTTAAACTTAGGACCACTTATAAAATGAATCAGAAAGAAAAAAAGAAAACAAAAAACTTTGCAAATATTCCTCTAGTGATCAATGCCTGGAATTCATGGATTACTCTAAAGGACAGCCAGTCTTGAGGGAGATTTCTTGAAAAAAGAAGGGAGATAAAACGTGGCACAATTTTCCACCCTTGTTGGTACAAGGGACAAAGAGATTTTGATGGCTACTTTGGGGAATCTGGGTGACTTAGAGGAATTCTGTTTATTCAGTTAAATATTAAATAGTTTAATGAATCCCTCATATCGGTATGTTTTCTCTGGAACCCTCTCATCTACTTTCTACTACAACAAATGACTTGCCGGATAAAGCTATGACAGACACTATCTGTTGAATCTAGTTGCCATTTGATTTTTTGTTAAGTATTAATACTGTCCACACATTGTTGATAAAGGGGGCTACCTGTAAAAGGGGTAAGCAGTGCTTTCAAAGCCAACTTAAAGGGGCCAAAGATAAGGCTAACATGTAAACTTTACATGAGGGCAAAAAGAATCCAAGTGTATGGCTGCAAACCAAAACACAACCTCAGAGTCAGGACTTCCTGAGGCCTATTGCACATGAAAAGCTTCCACTTCTGCAAGGCTCAGAGTTACCTGAGTCTCAGAGAGGCCCAACCAAGTCAAGTGCAAGCCTCGTCTCTACCCTTAGCCATACTTATTCTCTTGGTTCTGCCAGTTCAGGAAAGTAATCTGTGTGCACAACCTGAAGGGTATTTACTCACTGAAGCCTAGACAGAGGCCTGGCTCTCAAAGTACCAGCAGCATTAGAATCTCCTAATTGTCTCCAATGCAAATTCAGGCCTACCCAGTCAGAAATTTGAAGGGTATCCTGTGTTTTAACAAGTCTTCCAGGTGATTCTGGTTCAGGCTCAAGTTTAAGAAGCACTGCTGTAGGCCACTGTGTCTCCTTGAAGATAATTCATGACTTTCTCAGTATGAAAAAGGAACATTCTTGGCGGTTAAATAAAAAGGAAGAAAAAAAATCCTATCAAGTTTCACCATGTAAAACAATGGAAGGTGGCAACACACCAGAATTGTGAAAATATTACAATTCTAAAACTCACAAGAATATCACCATTTTATCACAATGGTAAAATAATTCCCTTAGAGTTGTAAGAAACTCAAAGTAGGATTTTCCTTAGAAAGGAAACATAACCCTCTAGAGGTGAATGTGATGTGCAGTCAGGGTTGAGAACCACAGATACAATAATGCCTTGCTGAGAATCTTAAAAACTTACCGCTGGCTTAGGATAAAGACGGTGATAGAAATCCAAAGGGAAAACATGATCTATCCGCCAGACTGAGATCGAGCCTTAGCAGAAATAGAAAGGAAGGAGGTGGTAAGCCTCAAACAGACAGGGAGGTTATACAGTGGCACGTCAGTCCTTGAAATGAGGTCAGACAACTGGGCTCCAGGGAAACTGGTCCCAGGGCATGAACAGGATGGGCACTGTACACAGCTTGGCCACAGAGGTGATGAGGATCCCTGCAGTGGCAATAGATCCTAGAGGGGGGCAAATGGCATTGCAATTTGCAAAAGGGGGCAAAAGATAGATTTTCCAACTATAAACTTAATCTCTAACAGATTATTAGAGGGGATCCAGAAGAAAACCCAAAGTATAAATATGACAAACTACACCAAGATTCCCAGACGATAACAACTGGTGAGATGTGGCTGACAAAGCAGATATGAACCCCCCCACCCAGGAATCAGGCAAAGTTTCCCATGACATTCCTTTGCCTGAACTACTCCACCGAAACAGCTTCTGTGAAGGTTACCAATGACCTTCATGTAACCAAGTCCAATGGTCAGTTCTTGGCCCTCATGTTACTTGAACTCTCAGTGCCATCTAAGAAAGTGGTTCTTTCACTTGCCCCTTACAACTCTCATTTCTGGGATAACATGCTTTCCTGGCTCTCTTCCCTCTTCCTTATCCACTATTTCTCAGTCTCCTGTGCTGGCTCATCCCCATAATATTGAATCTAAACTGACTAGGGCTCAGCCTGTAAACCTCTCCTATCTCCAACTACACCCTCATCAGTCTCCAGGTTTCAGATTCCAGACAGTTCACATGCTGATGACACCTAGCATTCCTGATCTAGTCCAGACATCTCCCGAGCTCCACATGTACAAATCCAGCTGACTACTCTACATCTCCACTTGGATGTCTAACAGGTATCTACAACATAACAAATTCAAAACAAAACTATTGATATTTTACCCTCAAACCTGCTCCCACCAGGTTTAGTTAGGCTGGTTTGGTGAACGGCAACTCCATTCTCCCAGTTGTTCAGTTCAAAAACTGTGGAGTCATCTTTAATGCCTCTCCTTCTCTCATAATCTCTCATAATCTATGAGTAAAACCCTAGCAGCTTCTACTTTCAAAAGGGCCTGCCTGGGACATGGAAAGAGCTCAATAAATATTAATTGAATGAATCTCTGAATGAACAAATGAATCCAGGTGAAGAAAAACCAGAAAAATTGGGGTGGAAGAAACGATGATTAGGTGAATTCATAACTAGTTTAACAGCCATAACCACAGGATGGCTTTTTCCTTGATCCTTGTCTTGGTCCACATTCTTGGCAGTGACATGGTTGAAGGTATGAAGATACAGTGCCAACAACATAGGTAGATGATACTGCATGAGATGGAATAGTGAATATTTTGTTGGGGTAGCAAAAATGATCTGGAAAAAAAAAACACAAAAAAAACAAAAACAAAAAAAACCCTGGATCTCTGTGACTCAGAGACAAATAAAATTAGGTTATGAGGATGAGTTAAAGAAAGTAGTTAGATCAATCTAACTAAGTGGAATTTAATAAGGATATATGTGAGGGCCAAACTTTGGCTCTAAAAAACTAATCGCCTGAGCACAGAGGTACTCTTAATCAAGAGTAAGCTGAGTGGGCAGCATTATGCTGTGGCAGTCAATGATGGCAATTTCATTTTAGGCTACTTTAACAGTAGCAGCTAAAATAAACATAATGATGGCTATGTTTTACACATTTAGTGTTCAACTAGTTTCAAAATACATAGACAAACTGTGACAAATTAGAGTAAGAATGTCAACTTAAAATCATCCTATAAGGATCAATTGAAAAAAGGAGAATGATTCACTTTTTTAAGTAAAAGAAAAAACCAGGATGAAATAATATTCACAGGACTTTTAAAGGTGGAAGAACAATTCTTTTTAGTTCTTTTGGGCTTTAAGAAATAGAGAACCAGGTGAGAGCAGAGAAACCACATTGGCAAGACTTTCGGACCCACCGGCCTTCCAATCAGGAAATGATATGCCATGGGAGGTGGTGCACTCACCACCCAACCCAGGAGATCAAAGCGTAAAGTACATGAAATAGACAACCGCGTAAATATCACACTGTTATTACAGGTCACTGGTCTAATTGTGAGAAGTGATGAAACTCCTACAGGAAAAGATGTACAACTGACTTGCTCCATTTTATTGATAAGCCACTTAAACCATCCAAAGCACAATCAGTGACTGGTTTGGAATTTTTTTAGTGTACTCCTAAAGATGTGGGCCTAATGACCTTAAGAAGCAGAGAACTTGTCTTCTAAGAGACACTTTAACAGAGAAAGCTTGGGCTTTAGAATCAGACAGATGAGTGTCCCAACACTGGCTGCACCTTTTACGGTCGTTTGGTCCTGGGCAAGTTTTTCAGCCTCTGAGTCTTAATTCCTTCTCTGTAAAATGGGGTAATCATTCCTGCTCCCACAGAGATATTCTTACGATTAAATTCAAAGAGGAAAAAATAGAGTACAATGGCAAATGGTAGTTAGCGAATAAATTGAGAGTAGTTAACAAATGAAGATACGGTTCTCAGTCCCAGTATTGAAACTAATGAGGGTCACAAGACTGACCAACACTAGCCAAAAACTTTCTTCGGTGACAGAAATGTTCCTTGTCTGTGCTGATACCTTAGCCACAAGCCATGAGAACGCCTGATGTGAGGCTAGTGCAAATTTTGAAATTTCTCTCATTCTAAAAGGTTATTTGTGATTAACGTATTAACTTAAATAGCTGCATGTAGCTAGTGGCTACCACACTGGACAGCACAGATACTTCCCTAAAGGGACTCCCAGCTCAGAAATCCTGGTTCTATTATTTTAGTAAGAGAATAAAACCAAAAGCACAAACAACATCAGGAACCCCATAATAGGAAGTGCCTAGTGATGCAAGGGGATTTCCATCCCACAGGGAATTCCAGAAGGCTCCTCAGGACTGCATGTGAGGGAATGATAGGGACTAACCTGGGAAATTTCTATGAACTTTACCAAGGATGGTGCTGATCCAATAGAACTGTTTTAAGTAAAGGTGTTTTCCTTGTAAATAGAATATGAAGCAATAAAAACTGTTACTGCCAATTACAGGATTAAGAAGTTTAAGTTTCCCTTCACCTCTCACCCCTTTCACTGTGACCCTGCTTCATCCAATCAGAAAACAAGATTCAAGAATTCTTAAAATTATTATTGCAGCCACTGTAATCATTCCTAATCCCACAGCTTTCTCCAAGAATGAACCTTTTAAGTTTGGTGCTGAATTTCCCTTCCTACTCTGCTCTACTTCTCAGAGCTCAGGAAACAATCCCCTAACTACTCTCATCACTACTTCATCAAGTTTCTACAAAATGAGCAAGAGTTCAAAGGGAATTTTCAACCAATTCATGCCTAAGGCAGGAAATTGAAATACCAAGTGGGATAGAAAAATGTTAGACAAACACAGGCGAGGTCCACTGGTGAGAGCCGGAGTTTTTCTCCCCCTGACCCATTTTTTAGAGAACTACAAAGGGGAATAAAGGGAGGTGGTTAATTGGTCACAGGACTTGTTTAGAGCCACCTCTACTTTCCTTTTCTAATTGACTGCTGGGAATAACACCCTCTTCAAGGACTGCTCTGAGGGGAAACGTGCTAGGACAGGCGATGCACTGATGAAATGGCTTCAGAAGCTGAAGATCATTAATTAAGAATATTGACAGTGAGCTTGAAAGCTTCACGGGAACAAGTGGGAGGCACAACGTGGTATCAGCTGCGACCTACACATTAGTAATTAAGCCTTGTGAAGGCTCTCAGTGGAAAGTTACAGCTCCCAGGCATTCCTCCTTGGATGAGTGAAGAGTCTCCTGAGGCAACTGAACTCTAACGACAGTATCATTGACTCTACAGTAGTATTTCCAACATCACTATAATATATATACCCCTGATTCTCAGGATTCAGTGTCTTCCAAGCACCACTACCCAATGCTTGAAATACTGTTTCTTAAACCTGAGGGCACATCAGATTCACCAGGAGGGCATGTCACAAATGCAGATTAAAAAGGCTCACTCCCAGAGTCTCATTTCATAGGCTTGAGGTAGGGCCAAGAATTTGCATGTCTAAGAGACTCATGGGTGAGGCAGATGCTGCTGCTGCTGATCTGGAGACCACACTTTGAGAATCACAGGCCTAGAAATAGGGGTTTGCATCCCTGGTGGCACTTAACAATCACTTGGGGAATTTTTAAAAATTATGTCCAAACTGTCTCCCAGACCAATTAAATCAGATCTTCTCAAGATGGGGCCTGGATGGACACCAGTACATTTTAAAAGCTCTCTGTTTGATTGTCATATGCTAGCTGGGTTGAGAACCACTGCAGATCACCTTCAAGTATTTCAATTTGGAGATTACACACACTTACAAATTAGAGAGAGGGAGGCAGATCCTGGCATTTGCTTGATTCCACTTACTGTTGGTGGTGATATTTCAATGGTCTTTTCCCCCACAAACAAAAATATAATAATCCTCCTTATACCAGCAAACCACATATTCTAATTCTTGATCTCTCTCATTCTCTTTCTCCAAGAATTCTCTGAAGATTTACAAATTACAGCAAATGAACATCTATGAAAACTGGTAAATCTGCTAATCCCCTGAAAACATTATTAATTTTAAAATAACACTTCAATGAGATCAATAGCATGTAACTATTCTTAAACACTCAAAATCATCTAACACCTTCCTTCCTTCAAACTCTTTTCAATTCTCCTCAAATTCATTTTCCTTTTTTGCAAATCAGATTCTGTGTTTCCTCATCTCTACACATCATTTGCCTGCTTCTAGTCTTCCCTTATTATCTCTGCCTTAATTTGACAAATATAAAGTTTAGAGTTATTCTTATGAAACAGTTTTATGATGCCTGCTCCTAATAAAAATATTTTTTAATAAAAAAGTATTTTATTTAATAAAAATAAATATTTTTCTCAGTAAGAAAAAAGAAACTAAGTCAAATTATTTTTGGTATGTATCCCCTGGTTAACTCTGCCTTGGGCATTAACCCTTGACAGGAAACCTATGTCCCACCTTGAATTCTTCAAATTAAGGAACCTTCAGGCTAAAATACACCATGTGCCCTACATCAGTACCTACTGGTTAAGTGTGACAGTGCAGTGTACCTCCAAGTAATAAGGCTAAAGTAAAAGGAATATATCACTCATAATCTACAGCTGTGGCTCTGAGACAAAATCACTACCACCTTCCACCACCTGTCCACCCCCAATGTGCAATGCCTGGAGACATTTAGAGCTGTCACAATTGGCATCCAGTGGGGTAGAATACAGAAAAGCTACTCAACATTCTATAATGCACAGGAGAGCCCACGACAAAGAATCATCTGGCCCATAGTGTCATTAGTGCCCAAGCAGAGAAACCCTGCTCTAGAAATTACTATAAGAAGCCAGTTGACTTTTCAGGCATTGCAGAATTTATAGGGATCTGAGGCCAACCAGGAGGAGGGGGAGAGAGAGGGGCTAATGGTCCAGAGTCAAAGAAGGACTACAAAATGCCCAGCCAGAAGAGAGAGCTGAGGCTGCTGCCCATCTTTCCAACTGTCCGAAAGAGGGTCCTCTTCATCTTGACCTTGCCAGACTTTGTCAAGAAGGTTTTTTTTTTAATATATAGGGTTAAAGGTTTAATTCGGTAAAACACTTCTGTTCCATGATTCATCACCTGACCAATTGACAGACTACCCACCCCCCCACACTCTATGAAGCATGCTTCCATCACTATTAACTTTTAACCAGGCCTAAACCAATCAATGAATGAATGAATGAGAGGAAGAAAGAAAAGAAAGGAAGGAAGGAAGGAAGGAAGGAAGGAAGGAAGGAAGGAAGGAAGGAAGGAAGGAAGGAAAGAAGGAGGGAAGGAAGGAAGGAAAGAAGGAAGGAAGGAAGGAAGTAATGCGGGAATTTTGACGAGATATTTTAGAAATGGACTATAAATCCAAAAGAGTACTGCCCGTTCTCTTGAGAGACTGCCATCTAACCATTTTTATTTTGGGCAATTTGCATGGGGGT